GTATTACTAATACGTTACAAAATTTCATAGTCTTCCGTAACCTCTACTTTGCTGTTCTTCTAGTCGACGCCTGTTACTTGAACGAAGTTACACTGCTTGTTTTTCTACTTTCACACGGGCCTCATTGTAATTGTTTTTCGTCCTCGTGCCAGACTATATCGTTTGCTCATTGTTGGCACAGTGGCTATAATCGAGAAGCTTCAAGAACTTAGCAAATGATGATGAGCACCCCAAACTTTCTCACGTTATCTTCAGAACACTGTTACTGGCTATCGTTTCCAGCCTTTACTAAGCGCAGAAGCACTTCCGTGCTTCGAAAGCACGAAACAATGATTTTTTCCCAGTGGATCTAAGTGGTTCACCGAGCCGCTTCTTTCGCCCAAAACCCTTTACATAATGATGTTGGCTGATTGCTCGATTAACATGTTGGGATTACGTCGTTTGAACAGTTAATTAGACAAATCTATGGTCCACTCGAACAGAATCGTAACTGTGCTGCGGTTAAGCGCACGCCGTGACCGCCAAGTCGGCGCCAGACGGCGAAGTGATAGCGGTCTGGGCTGATGTAAGTAACTTTAGCCGGCCGGAGATCCGTCAGGACACCAACGAAGGAGTGCGGCCCGTTCTCCTGAGTGTGGCTTCCCTTTCCCTCAAACATCTCTCCGCTGCCCTTGCCGGCCCTCGCCATCAGAACGCTGCATGAGTGTAACATAACATACCTAACGGAAGATAGAGACCGTCAGATTCAGAAATGCTTTGATCGGCCATAAGCGCTATTACACAAATTTCATATGCTTTAGGTACGCTTCCACGGATGCTAAATGCTGGCCTTTCCGTACAAAGCGAATTGACCTCGCACATTATTATTGTTACGCCGTACTCAAGCGCCAGGATCGTAAACACTTATTGCTGAAACAGACGTCTGCTGCGCTCCAACAATGACAAAAGATGCTGTGGCATATGCGTCCTGCAGTTACTTACGCATAAAGGGGACATTATTTAACAACGGAAATGCGCAGCATGAGTCACTATCTGCCGAGCAGGTACCGAATAGTTTATTTAGACAAATGATACGTGTGCAAGTACGTGGTTAGACACTACAGGTGCACAATTAACGTAGCTTTACACTCACACATAAAGCTAACCGTTCACAATTTTTTGTCGAAATATTTTCCTTTGTCGCCCATTGGTTCAATGGGTAGTTCAGTGGGTACTAGCTAATATCCTACATAACGATAGGGTCGACAAGGACACACGCCTTGATGCTGTAATATTTATGCCTGCGACAGCTATGCCAATAGGAGAAAGTCTCTTTCTGGAGCTACGACAAGAAGAAAGAGTAAACGGTCGTATAGTTTACTAACACCTGGCAGTCAGTAAGACATGCCGCTTCTGTTCAGCGTTTGATCTTCTGACTGACGCACTACGCTCGTACACAAAAAAAACACACGAAATCGATGATATACGGCTGAATATATGCTGACGATCCTCGTGACGATTGCGCAGGACGAGCCGTCGGTCCGACCGGTGAAGCCGAATTAGTAAATAGAATTTTAATAAGCTTAGCTATCGCCGGTGCGATGTTTCTTTCCATAAATTAGGACGCGTTTATTTATCTCAGCTACATCGGCCGCTATTGTAGCATGTCAGTTATTATCACCTAAGCCATTATATATATCTTCAGTTAACAAGGAGATAACAAAAAATCATTTGTTGATAGTTGTGCGTTCCGGCTTTTCCCTTTTGGACGCACTTGTTTACCGGATCAGCTTAGCCAGTACTATTTCTTTTCATATAGTACCCATTCTGTACATTCTAAAAGCGATTTTGACCGGAGTAAAAATTGCTAAAAGCTATTTTTCCCAGTTATTTTTAGCAAGTTTGACAACAACTACTTTATGATTGAAATTGATCAGCCGATTGGTAGTATTCGAAGGTTTACGTATCGTTGATTCTTGAGCCCAGTAATGTAAGATATTTCTCATATACTGTCAGATATCATCGGGAGCGCTCTTCACGACGAACGGGATCTTCGCTAAATATCGAAAAGCGATCGATAAATCTCAACCGAACTTCTTTACTCGCCAAACGTCACATAGACTGAATCTGTTGATGAACATTTATACCTTAAGGTGACGCGGAAAAAATATCATTACAACCAGTATCTAACGACAGTACCAACGCCCTAACGCCGCCTTTTGATGCTCGGTCTCACATGAACAGCTTACTACTCTTCTTTACCACAGACATTTTTACGATTCTAACGAAAGGGGACTTCTATAGAAAATTGGACACATGTAGTTCCCCTTTTCGCGTCCAATAAATTCGCTACTGATAGAGATAAGTGCACCAATTTAAGACGATGGTGCTTCCACTGCTTTACAATACCTATAATCGGATACGCGTTTTCAACTGAATTCCAATTTGATAATTCGATAACCCATATAACGTTATCAGTACACATAATGCATATGTAATCTCCTACACGACTTACCGTAATAGAAAGGCTAAGTTTATATCTTAGCACATGTTTTGCAGAAGGGAACACTTAATTAATTTGTTTCTCGTTACGATCCGAGTCTTCAGCGTCATTTCTTCGCAGTGCGATCGGCTCCCGTAGACCAGGTATGGCGCAAGCTAAATTTATACGGACTTAATCATGTAAGATAAAAACGCGTGAGAAACATTCGTGTAATGTTACCTGTGTTGGGTTTTTTGCGTGTATTCTTTTTGCGTTTGCCAACAGTCCGATAATCCGAAATTTCGCTAGACGCAGCCAGCTATTGTCTATCGGCACACGCCTAAGTTCACGACGACACAAAACAGCTTAGATAAAGGTCCACTTGATATCAAAAACAGCCGCACATACGTAACTAACACAGTCACCCCTTGTCCTTTGCGTCGTAAACGTTATTGTACTGTATTTTGAACAGTGTGGTTCAAGCACGTCGGATACAGGAAGTGATCTACCGGCGGTATCCGTAGTCACTGACAGGCTCGTAAATGCCTCCTCTAGCAACAGCCATTAGCGTGCGTCAGGGTGAGAGAAAAGTTCCCGCTAACAATCACGTTAACAATGCATCAGTAATGCGTAGGATTGTGTATTCGCGCAATTTAACGGGCTTTCACTAGATACTATCGACCCACAAAAAATTGCGCCACCTTCCACAAAGTTTCTGCAAAATAGATAAACTGGTTGTCCCGGCGGCGTCTAAAATTAACCACCAGGTATAATTATCGTTCCATAATAATTACTGAGAAATAACTTCTTGAAACAGATCGGCAGAGTGTATTTTGGCCATCGCCCTGTCCATTTTAACGTCGCTCTAATTGATCGGCCGATTTCTAACTGAACCTGCATTAGACACCGTCCTTACCGGCCAGCCAGAATGGTTCACACATTCCCGTAGCTGTTTAGTTGCTTTGTAGAAAAGTTGTCGTTCAGTTATGGCAAAATTTTAGCCCTTAAAGCAAATAAACTCACTATTGTTTTTTCCATAAATGATTCCTTCGTTCTGATCGAAGCCTTTAATCGTACGCGTACACAGGTCGCTATACGAAGTGTCAAATCTCTCGTACCGACTGCGATCCATCTAATTTATGGTATAATAACATGAGCGTAGCAATTTTTACAAATTAAATTATCCTGAACTGTAATGTCATGATCATTTACTCTAGATTTTATATAGCCGACTTAACTGAAAAAATCGTTGCCCGCAAGCTAACGATTCCAACTGGGTTCATTGCAACCCCTATACGATATTAATTAACTAGAAAATCTATCCAGGAAATCTTAAATATTAGTAGCTAGTTATGATTAGTATTAGCTTTATACGTATACCGTCCAGTTCGTTAACTGGCAACTTTCGAAGTTGACTGTGCGCCGGAAGTCTACAAAATCATTGTATTTTTTCATTAAATTAGGCTAAGGGCTGTGATAGCCCTCGTGGGGCAAGTCTGATTGTAAACAGTCTGTTCAAAAAGTAAACATGAAAACAACGTACTTAATGATTATGGTGGATTGATTAGGACCAATGATGTTGCACGTTGAAAATTACCAGAACAAGATGTCTGAAACCGATTTCTCATTTAGTTTCTCTAGCCCTTTCGAAATCGTTGTTTTTCTAGCAAGAACGACATACTTGATTTAAATCCGCTGTGATATTATTCCTTTCACGGTTGCGTAGTAATCGTTCGGGACAAACGCTTTGAACTGATGCATCTGTCTAATATCAGTTGCGAAATGTTTTGCGCATTTTATTGCGTTCGATCATATCCAAACTTTCGATTACCCCTGCAGTTGATTGATAAATTGCAGATGAAGTTTAGAACATAAAAATAGCTTTTAAGCTATTGCACGTGGCTCGGAAAAACCCGGACACAGTCGTACACTATGGCAAGCAAGACACAACTGATAGAACAATCGTTACCCGTCAATCATTCAAGCCTGCCGCGCTACTTTTCATGTATAGAAAGCTATCGCGCTCGTGACACAATGCTGCCCCCCCCCCCCCACAAAGCTGTCCAGTTAGCTCGTATCTAGGATACACCGTATAGAGCGCGCCAATTCTTCGTCTACCATACCTTCCGTATCAACGAACTGCTGCCGTCGTCATTGCAACTACGTCCACCTACTCTAAATATGTTCGTTTTGCCAGTCCCACCAACGTGGAAACAAAAACGAGGCGATGCTATAATAATATGGTGTTCTAACAAAATCAATTGCTACGAAAGATTGTTTAGCTGATATAACAGTTAAAAGCTGATCAAGATTGTGCGCGAGGGCCAAAATCTGAAAATCAGGCCCCATGTCCGTGAACGATAGTCCACAGATAGATCTCTTATAAACAATAGATATAATAGTTTTTAATGATTAGCAAATGAAAACATATAATTAAGAACAATATGTACATAAGCAGCACATAATCTTGCAAGAATCAACCATCTATAACAAATTTCTTGCCTAAAAAAGCTAGTTAAAATAAAGACAAGAACACCTAAATGGTTACTCAAGTCAAGTCGTCTTTATTTTACGAAACGAAGGGTGAAATTTCTCCTCGACCGCCTGGATATCCTGAAGGCTGGCCAGTGATCAAGCACATTGTAGGCGTATCACTCTAGGACTGCAGGCCGCATAGGTCGGCCCGCATCGCCAAATCCTTATATTCATCAGTTGTTTTGAAGGCATTCGCTCAGCTTCGTTGAGCTATTGCGCATCCCCTTATCATTATACCTAATAACCCTATTGAAGATTCGATAGAGACAGAAGATACAACAAGCTGGTAAAATCCTTTCCTTTTAGTGCGCTGATGCATTTCCCCACGTGTTGATGCCTTACAACAGCTGGCCTCTCTGTTTCCCCCCACCTTAACCCATGAATCTCAACTATTAGTCAACGACGATCAATCTAACGACGAAATAGCCCCTATTCGTTATAGCGACTGCGGCTCGACGGAGTACGACGCGTTACTGGGATTTGTTATTGATTGTCAACGCTCGATCAGGGTAAGGGGGGTCAAATCATACATCAGTGAAGGGATACGTGAAGATTCGGAATTGGGCGTAACTTCGTTTTGAGCTAAATGTATTTCGACAGCTGAATAAGTTCCAATTTGCAGATCTTATTAGCGGATCAAAGTTCTGTAACTTTGTAGGGTGCAATGATAAGAAAGCGGTATCTAGGAGCAGCTTTACCTATCATCAATACTAATAAAAATTTATCCATTTTGACTTTGTTATACGCTGGCAGTGGCCCAACACCGTTAAAATCGATTGTTGTTCCCATTCAGCAAAGAACAGTAAGTGCTGAAGTTTAAGTGATGTCCAAAGCGCTGAAAGGACGCTCGCTAGGCGCTTATAGCGCATTTCCTAATCGACGTTGGTGGTTGAGCTGATCGGAATAGATTGCACAATTTATACCGAAGGTTGGTGATGTAATAATTGGTGCGATGACAGACCAAACCAAAAAGGAACGCTGAAGTCTGTAATAAGGATACAGATTTAGCTCATGCGACCATGTCACTATAACGAAAAGCGTAAATTTATAAATAGTTATCATGGCTATTATAACTGATGAAGTCACAGTTGGCTTTCAGCGGGAAAAATCTTCATTAGGCTTTAGCGTTTCGTTGTTCAAACAGGATGATGTAGAGTGAATAAAACTGCGGTACCTCACGTTCAGAATATGCTTCAATGCTCTAAGCAGTTTTACGAAAACAATACAAAGAATACATTTCCGTTGGTTGCTTACTGATACTTCGGCTGAAGTTGTACGTTTTCCTTCTCCAAAGCATCTAATGAATTTCAGGCTTGTTTAGCTTTTTTCCGATAAATTGACAACGCTATTTTCTCCACAACGGAATTATTTGAAAGACAAAAATAACCTGTAGAAGAAGAATAACCTGCTGAAATGTCATTTCCCATAAGTTTTTCAATGTTCCCTATATATTGTGGAGATTACAAAGAATGTATTCAAAGAACTCTAAAATAACTAAATGCCCTATTAAGCGTTAATGTCGAGTTTTAAATGTACCGTATCAAAAGTGGGTAAAAAAAATTAGCTTTGTCAAAACTATTTCTCTATGTAACCTTTTTGCAGGAACTGTGCCCAACATGGCCCCAGCCAAAAAGCTTATTAATTGTGGATGTATTTTATAAAAAATGTGTTACTGTTATTTTTCGTTATAGATCGTTTTCGATTAGTGGAAACGCTGTCTTCTAAACCCATTTCTCTTTGAATAAGTAACACGTTTCCTTGGAGATTACATGTTTTGTAGGCAGAAAAACAGAACAAACCTTGTTCCGGAATTATCTCAAGGAAGTTCTTGCTACAGTTAATCTCCAATGAGTCTAGTTGCGTTGCTTTACTGCAAAATCCGCTAAAAAAAAAAACCTTGAGAATGCGTTGCGATGGGTATAAAAACTATATTTTTGGTGTGTATATATACATACACACATATAGTTGGCGATTTCAGTTATTAATTTATAATCTAAAAATCTTGCAGAACAACTATAACTTTCTGATATTAATTGAATTTTCCTGTATTGAATTAAGGCTATTCGAAGGGTGTATTGCCTTAGCGCATTTTAAGTCAATCAATAGAACTATGATTGAAAACTGGGAAATAGTAAAAATAATTATTATTACTGTAATTATTATCACTATATATAATAAACGGTATTGTGGTTTCTAGGTTTTGCAAGTCTCTGTGACATTGTCTGCAGATTTGAAAAATGAATATCGTGCCTCTTCAGAATTCTCATAAAAACCCTATAATAACTGAGCAGTGTTTATGGCTAGAGTCTTAAATTTTAACATTTACTGATATTTAATCGCAGGCATACAGTTACTGGGTCGGTAATACATACAATAATAACAATAGCTAAATTGCAGTTTTTAGTATCTTCTGATATACTTAACTGTCCCTTTGAAACATCTATAGTCTACCTTTTTTTTTTGTTGTCACAAAGGGCTTTCTGCTCGCTATACTCGATAACGGAGTTAGACGCGGCCTGGCTATTACGAACGGGATCTAATTAACAAATCACTACATCCGATTCCAGTTCTTTACCATCTAGTTACCAACGTCAATACGGTACACTGGTATTTAACATCTAATCATTACGCTTCACAACGAATATAGCCACTGAATACAGATGATCGAAACAAACTGTTGTTCCAAACGTTGGTCCGTTTTTCTACATTTCCTATAGCATTCATAGTAAACCATAAATTCAAACTCGTACTCAGACCTATATCAGTCACAACAATTTTCCTGTTGCAACAAAAGGTCAAATAGGTTCACACCAGATTCCTAAGTATCTATTAGCAGAGGGCCGCAATCAACCTTAGCTAAATTGACATAGTTTCCTTAAGTAAAGCTGATACATGCTTCTCTTTTAATTGAAACTCACGAGGAACACAAGCCAAAAACAGGCCTTTGATCTGATTAGCCTCCGCTCGGAAAGGCCTTAGCTTTCGATGCAACTATTCCGAGCAAGATCGGAAATAATATTGGAGAACTTCCTTAATATTGACTCTATTTGGCATATACAGTAGTACAACTTATGGCGATTACGGCAAAATTGAATCAAATAAGATGATTAACAAGCATTTGAATCCTATATTTTGTTCTCTATATATCCGTTCTTTGCTCTTTACTAGTGATACCCTTCTGAATCCTCAATGTATGTTGACTCCCTATCGTCAACATCATTGATGAAAATTTTCATTCCTCGAGGGAAGTCCTGTTTGCTCACTTTCCCTAACGAACCAGGCACCTGAAAATAGCAGAAAGCCATATTTTATTCACTTCAGAAAAACGTGAACTTCAGAAAAAGAAAAACCTATTTTAAATTAAGGCAGCTTCGTTTATCTTGCAAGTGGGTTGAGCTGTATGTTTTTTGTAATAATAATAAACACATTCCAACAGGCCAGAACAGATCATCACTTACGAGCGAAAAGATCGTTCATTCGTTCGGTATCTACTACGATGCTCTATACTTCTTCTAGATTATTCCTAAGCAAAAAAACTAACGTGATAAGCATGAGAGCCCCAGCCCTGGGTCAAGTGGCTGTTCGCGTAAGCAATCGATCTTTGCCAAGTAGACGTTCATTCGAATCCTGACAAGTTTCATATAAAGATGGGCAATAGTTATCATAGGAGGGGGCGCTTCAAGCGCCTACCCACGATTTTTTGCAAAAACTCGTGTGGTACACATCATTCTTAACTAGCCAGCGTGAAGGATTCGCGAACGAGCAATAACTGCAAGTGCTTCCTTCGCTACACTAAACTGATGTGTATGCTGTCGTATATTCTAACGGCTGGAGTCCTTTTGTTGACATTTGTGAAATAGTTTGTTACCGAACCCGTGCCCGGGTGAACGGACAAAATGACGTAACGTTCGCGTATACTTATGACGAAAAAACTGTGGGAGATAACGGCCTATTTAATGGGAGATAATGGATATTTACAGCAGCGTATCGAAAGAATCCCATTTGGTAGCGGTAAGTATCACCAACTCGATAACAACAAAGCCATTGATCATGTGTTGAGGTAATCCCCAATAAGGAAGGGAAATTTATTTGCGCAATACACAAAAACAAATATACACAAAAACGAACGTGATAAATTAAAAAGATTCGTCTGAGAGCAGCTCCAAAAAGAATCGTACGATTCAATGTAAATCAATATATCTAATAATTTGTTAGAGAAAATCAACGATATTGCGCCACGCGGGACGAAGTCTTGGCTATTTTGGCGGGCTCTGTGTACGTGGTGTGGGTAACGTAGGTTCTTGTGACGTTGTAGCGAGAATCTAATTCGAAGATCGTCGGAAAGCAATTTTATATACACGATCAGTACCTGAATCGATTTCGAAAAAGACCTTGTATTATGTTTGTAGATAGTAGTATATGTGCAATCATTTGGTTATCACAAGAATCTCAATATAAAGACTACCTATTCTGCATCGTTGCTCGAGCATGGTTATATATATATAGATACCCAGCTACACGACTATTAGGTGAAATGTTTAGGGACTCGTATTTATCAAGATTAAAGGCAGTGCCTACTTCGTACATGAGCTCGACGACCCGATGGATAGATTAAGTGGCATACGCACTGAACTTCCTCAAGCTTCCGACCCATCTTAATACTATAATCCGCATGGTCTACAAACATTTATATATCGACTCTGACGGATTTGAAAACTTCAAACTAGCTGTTTTCCTCTCAAACCAAAGAAGTCTTTTGATGAACTTTGCGAATCGATTCCCAAAAAATGCTAGTGTAGTAAATTACGATAAGATAACGATTGTAACTTCGCTCAAAAGTCGATCGAACAAAAGATTTCGAGGAATCGATGCTCTTCAGTCGTTTTCCTATCAGAAACCCTCTGCTACGTACAATACATGTACCGCAATCAAACCATAACGATGTGTGCGAACTCGTTGTATACCTGTTATTCTACCCTTATTCGAGCGAAAATTTACCCTGATTCACTCTACTTTCAAGCTCGACAGTAGACCTCTACCAACGGTAGACACTACAAGGACCGGATCTGTGCTGGTAGCAGATTTAGCCATTGTCGTCGGAGCAGCTAGCAAGTTGTCGCTCGGCAGCCAGTTTTGTCGTCCTTTTAAGTTGAAGACCCTTTCAGCCAGTTCTCGAGAGACTGACTGAATCGGGCGGATTAGAAAACAAAGTACCGCACATGGCCTGAGAAGTCCCAGAGGCCCATACGAATGATTGTAACAGCGTTGGCCGCATGCCCTGGCGTTCCGTTCGGAAAGTGCAGTACAGAACAGACTGACTTAGCTTCTTTAGACGTAGGTACTACTCTTCCTCCCGTACAACGAACCGCATCTAATGCATTTATCGGCAAACACCAACGTCCATTGGAGGTTGATTTTTCTAAGGCCCCCATCGCCATTACTATACAGTAAACAATGGACCAACACTAGATTTGGAGCAGTAGTTGAGTCGGTGGCTAAATAAAAAGCTCATAATGTTTCTTCCTTGCATCTACGACGATGCATTCTATATGAGTGACGCCTTGATCATGATTTCACTGTCAACAGAGATCGCTTAAGAAACAAGTAGAAACACTGCCTGTAAATGAACGTAAAGATTCGAGTCATTGTTTAAACGGGACGCCGCTCTGATGACTAACATGTTTGAAGTCAGCTCAATTGCATTACTTATTTTTTCAAAAATAAAAAACAAGGGACGGCATTTCATTGTCGAAATTTGTCAACTGACTATTGGCCGTCATTATTATGATGACTGACATCATGACATAATTATCTGTGGCGCTTCTATGAGTTATCCTTTAACCACTGTTCAATATCACTGTCATGTATGTCTAACAATGTAACAAAATTACTCCAGATATTTTTACCATAAACCTTACCATCAATTAATTCCACCATTTGGGGCTGACCAGCAGATATTTGTACCCTTCAAATATCATCGGTTTGTCTCACTAACATCAATTAGACACACCTAAGTGAGGTCGATGACTCGGCGGTGAGCGTCATGATTTAGTACGTTCCCATCTGTTAGACAGCAGCGATGTTACCGCTGTTGCTCGAAGCGCGACCTAAACGCGTGTCCTTCTACTGTCGTCAGGCGCGTCATACGTAACGCGGCAGTAGCAATGCCAAACAATGACGACCTTCTATCGCAAGGCGGTCGTTTGCTTCATAAATGAAATCGTAGTTGAAAAACTGTGGACCATAGTTAAGCCATGCTCATATATCGTAATGCCCCGAATAGATGACGTAACAAAAGATCGCTTTAAAGTAAAGCTTGTAGCGACGACGTCAACTCGAGCACCTCCGGCTTTCTTGTGACAATAATATGCATTTATATTGAAAAAATGTATAGCAGAACATTTGCTTTCAAAAAACAAAACGTGTCTTTGTTTTTCTAAATTGTAGGATTTACGAAATTTTTAAAAACAGTCAATCTCTTTCTAAGGGCAATTTATATATTGGCAAACCTGTGTTTGAATAAATATTCGAATAAAGCTCATCCAGACCTTCAATACTGATAATGGCCTTATTTTTCACAACTTATATTTTCATCTCCACGGAATCATCATTTTTTTAACCTTACACCGTCCTGTTATAATCAAACTGTAACAAAAACACTTTTCCCGAACTTCTGGTTTATTGGCCGCGTTTGAGCAACATCTGTGTTTGTAGCAGCGGTATTTAGCAATAGGTACGTTGCAAGCCGTACTAACTTGTGAACTTCGAGTTACTATTAGAAAGGCGAAAGCTCGTACGACACAGTAGAATAACCCTTGGCCATGAGTAAGCTGGAATCGACTTTATATTCGAACCCGTATCGTATTCATTTGAGGCTGAACCGCTAAACATTTTAGTTGGATCCTATAATGCATATATATATATATATATATATGTATGTAAAGCGTGCCATAAAAACAACTAGGCGAATCATTATTGTTAACAAAAAAAGGTTTTCGTTTACTGGACTTAGTTTAAGCTTTAGCATCGAGTACGTAAAAGTTGTTTGCGTTCTCACCTTAAACACCATAACCTTTCCGCCGAGTTGACTTTCGTCGATGGAAAAGTCGCCGTGAAAAACTTCGCGTTCACCCCAGTGTCGATCTGGCCTCGCCCCCGCGGACACTCCCCTCCCATGGGGGCCCCATACTAGCGAACGTCGTCGACTACAAATCGTGGTTTCCATCACCAAAGCGATGGCAACTGCCCATGCTACCGGCAGAAACTGCATCCTTTTCGAATAATATAGCGTAGTTACTTGAAAAAGGTACACGCACTGATGCTTTGTCCAGTAGCGAATAAGCACAAAACTATTCAGGTGAATAGCTCTGGTTAACCACTTCGAATATTGATGTAGCCTATCTGTGCAATAGAATTAATCTGAAGTTCGGCAAATTTAGGCAGCGACACAAGAAGAGGTCCTAAAAAAAAGTTGCCTTCCCTCTAACTTTCTTCGTCATATCACGTACGCTATTCGTGATCGGTAAAGTTTGATGCGGGATTTGCTTATCTTGTTTAGGCCTCTGGCCTACGGACTTGGCAATGGTCTGGCTTTTTTTTGTTTGTTTAGATTTGCGGACACGGTCACAAGCACAAAGATGGTAATGTGGCTCGTTTAAGGTCCATTCGCATTTCCACTTACGGTTGGACCATCGACAGTTTGTTATGAATCACACGATAATTTGTCTATTATAATGCTCTGTGGTAAATCCGAGTGACAGTCAAAGAAAACACAGATAGCAAGTCCGAAGATTCGCTTACAAAATCGCTGCGATGCGAAAATGTATCGACTCTAGATGTAAAAAAAAAAGTATTCTGGAATGGGAGCCCTGCACCTGTTTCGTTTGTCGAGAGAAATATACCTATTTCTCCTTCAACGACACTTGTACCAGGAGCAACGTTATCCGACGTAAGGAAAATAAACTGCTGATCTGTATAGTACTACCACCGTGTTCGTAACTGACGGCCTATCGATTTGAGGCTTACGTGGCGACAAGTTAGGACGCCTATGTTGACGTGTCCGCTCAGAAGCTGGCGTCGGTTTGCGCACACACCTCGGGCTCGGAGTCGTTTGCCGGCAGTGCACCGTTCGATTCATTTATGGGTGAAGGCTATCTTCGGGAAAGGAGTTGGCAGCGCCATCACCGCGCACGGACGCCGCTACAACTGTGGATGGTAAACCCATGATAGTAAACCATTTGCTGTCTGTGAGCGGCGGGCAGAAAGCATCGAATACCTCTAAGAAACGTCCAAAATTTGAACTACAAATGTTTCTTCTGTGGTGCGTTCTTTGTGGGCTTTTGGTATTTGGACCCTAGAAGAATTTGCCCAGTTATTTGTATTTATTAGTATTATACTCATCTATCATATGCTAATCTAGTTTAGCAGATACTAGATTGCAGGCTGTCAGCGCGCCGGTATCAATCTGTTGCCGAGAGCTAACCAAATTAGGAGAACGTAGATTGAATTTTTCTAGTTACGTTGGCTTTGACGATGCTATATTTTCGGTATTGTCTGTACAACGGGAACGGGTGAACGACGAGCTATGTGGGAAACTCTGGTAATATAGAAGGGTCAGCAGTGTTATGTAATTGGGTTTCTATTATTGTTTTCGCTTAGTACGGCAGTCGTCAAATGGCCGTTGTATTTGAGACAGCCGAGTGCTTTACCGAAAGTTAGTTGAATTTTGTCTCGAAGCTACAACTCTTCCTGATAGAATCACGAGCAAATTACGTTTTAATGAAGCTACTGCATTACCATATGACCATCAGATGATCATTCTGAAGTCTGTATGATCCATTATATATCGGGTCGAAATGAAACGCGGTGTCGTCGGTTGCGAATTTAGCAGAAAAATCGCAACTTGAGAAAACTACAAAACTTAGTTTTTTTAGTAGGCATACATACATATATGCGTTGTATACAGTTCAAGTTAAACTACGTATGTGAGATAAACTACATCGTACGTCTTAGATATTCGTAAGTGGTTCTTTTTGACAAAAAAAAATTACTATGACAACCGTATTGCCATAAGACTACATCGATATTTCTCTATGCGAGAAGCCCCGATAATGACGGTAGGTACACTTATTCGAATGTGAACAAATGAAGCGTTATTGAGAATTATTACGCAAAATTTAAAATAAAATTACTGCTAACATTAATAGCTATTTGTCTAGCTGCCAAGGCCTGCAGACAACTTCAGCAACATCTAACCATTAATGGATGCAAGTTCTTGATAATACATTGAAAAAAGACGATTTTGAGTGTTCGTTCACATAAAGAAAAAAAAAAAAAAAAAAAAACTAAAAGGCCCAATAAAATCAATTGGTTTTTGAGAACGTTTTGTCCATCGTTAGAGTAAAGGCAAATCCAGGCACTAGACAAGATCTAGTGCCTGCAAACCCTCACAATGTCCAACCGAACTTTATGAGCACCTATAAAAGATGAATCGCCATTTCCATGTATACCTATGCTGTCCGTAAGCGATTGCTAGATGCTTCCTTTTCTAGCCATAATCGCAGTTCCATCAAATAGCCAATATTTTTCTTTAGTTGTATTGCATGGCTGAATGATTGGAACGAGATCGTTATCAGTCTTAGACACTTATGGAGCCATACGGTCAACAGCACAGATACCTTTAACTTGTATTTTCGAGAGAACCAATGGATTGCTGCAAGTGTCCTTTAACATCTGAACTAGAATTCTTCCATACTTGCTGTTTCTAAGCAGATCAATTGTTTCTCTATAACGGCTGTTGCAGATGGCCGTGTTAATTTTTAGCTTGTAGAGCCCCACTATCCACAAGCACTAGTAATAATAACATTATATATTAATTACTAGTGGTCTTTCTTATGTAGTGCAACTTCAGTTTCCGAACCAAATCCAGTTCGAAGGGTATAATACGAATGGCTTTCTTGCAAGTTAGACGCTGCTATTACTGTTGTATGTCATCGGTCCCTATTCCATCTTTGTTTTCGTCTGCTCTGATATAGCTACCAGCTGACAAAACCTGATGGCCTTCAGCATTCACCAACGGCAGTCGTTGCCATGCAGTGACATCCCGGTCTTCTCGTTTTACTCTTAGCGACAGGCTGCAATGTCATATTAACTCGTGCGGCGTATCCGAAACGGTAAATTGGACCGGAACAAAGGATCCGATCTTGTATTGACTCATGTTGGCTACAAAGTGAAATAGGCGAAAATCGTCATTGCCAGTCGATCTCGTTTGCGAGATCATTTCTATTGTGTATTATTGTTTGAAAAAGATTTCGTGGCCTAAGCTGACTAAGGCCTCGTGTGAGTTATCTGATATAGAGGAAGAGAGAAGGGATTGGCAGATGGCGATCACCAGATTGCCATCTGCCAATCCCTTGGCTTGCGTTCACGTAATTGATATATTACGTAAATAATTCTGAATACTAAATTTAGTAAATGGGTAACTTTTTTCAACCCGACTCTCTGTCGGTCTCTATATTTCGCTAGCTTTATCGTTATTCTTGTTACTGTTATCGTATTACTTAGTGGTAATTAATCAATCCAGTTGGGATGTTTGCGAAGATTAATTCATTGAGCGGCGGCAAATTACCGTCGAGGCTCTACCCGCCGCAATACAGGACGCAGTAGGCCATAATTCGATCTTCAATTGGCTGAAAAATAATTAAATGATGTGAAGATAAGCGAGGAGGATTGTATGAAATAAAGCTAAAATTTCGATAAGGTAAGATAGTAGTCGTTCACCAGCAGATGTGATTTAGTGCGAATGGGCGATGCGTACGATAGTGCAGATGCCCCTGCATTTAATATCTTCGAATAAATGGGCTTTTTAAAGCCATGTTTTTCTAGTTCTTCGAAGACTACTTGTTGAGCTATTTATTGTCTTCGCAGGGGAATGAACGACGTCGGAGCTCTACACATCCATCTGATTGTTGTCTCTTGGTAATTTAACAAAAATAGCTTGACACTTTACCCAGTTTCTTTTTATATTAAAAGGTTATAGAGATTTTGCTCGGTAAGCCTCATCCGAACGGGACAGAAAAATCTGCAAGTCGGTAGTGATGCGTTGTCACACTTAAACATCTCCATAAGCGTTCGAAAGATTGTCGGTCGTCAACTACATTCAGCGTTTTTCTATTTGCGCGCTAATAAAATTCATAAATTATTGCGATCTGTCGCAGCGACATCGGTCGCGTGGCGGACGGTGTCTGACAGTGCATCGAAAATTATCTGATAATCACGATAAAGTAATGTTTTCCAATTGGCAATTATTAACATCGCACGGTAAATCTGAGGCGAAAATGGCTTCTATTTAATAGATCTGAAGTCTAAACAGACGAATCTAGTAAATATGGCCGATGACGCTAACGGAACTTCAATTGATTAAGGAGTTATAATCGCAAAAGCCCAGCAGGTCGCCTTTTACACCGCTTCCGTCTCAATAGCACTAACCAAATTACTATCAGCAGTAGTATTCAAATACGAGGGAGGAGCGAGGCATAGATTTCATATTATCACATGCTAATTCAATGAGTCCGATTTCGCACAAAGGAACCAGAGAATGGAGGGGAGAGACAGGGGACGGTGCAATTTTGCCTTTGGCATGTCTCAAGTAGATCCTTCCACTATCGCTGGTTGTTAGTCATCTGAGCAGGCAATGCGTCCAGGGTGGGAGGATGTTGAAGGGTAACACAGTACGACTAGATCTTTTATTCGAGTTGTCCATTGCGTTAGCACCAGTAGCGGTAATCAGCAGGGCAACAATTGATGACATGCTTGGTGGTGTAGGACACAGATGTGAGACGCACGTTAGAAATCAGGAACAGACCCAGTGCTCGACGTCCTGATGGCCGGCTATCCAGTGCAGTTCGTGACAGTGGTTCAGGAGAAAGCATCAGGACCATGCAGCTACTTTCCTACCGGTTGCGATTATAATATGTAGTGACACAAATAATGATTAGTTGAAATTTTAAAATGTCGCGGGAGATATTGTTGGCGAAAATACGGCTTGCGGCGCCGCCGAAGTCGATCATTAACAGGCGTTGGTGTTACGTGGTTGACAACTTATCTGGTTGAACAAGACATCCGGGCAGAGCTTCGGGAAAAAGCAAAATGTTGGATAAAGGTCAATTTCCCTTCGCTATGTTTCGCCTAAACCTATACAATTAGAAATTACAATAGGCTGCAATACAATTATTGATCGGGGACGACGGGTTTCGAAAGGCATTCATCTGTTATTGCCGGAGCAATGACAACCGAAATCTTGACGTATTTATTTTAAATCACATAGGCCATCTGCAAAACGTCAGATTCAATCGACAGCCTCTTATAGTTAAAGAGAGGCCACTTCAATCTGGCTTACTGACTAGAATGATTCTGATAATTATAGTATGTTACTGCCGATTTTTTCTGTCCTGTCAGCTCTGACGCAATGACGAGAATGGTCCTTTTTCGTTTCGCTCATAGTCCGGCAAGTAGCCCTTGATCAGACACTATTGTATTTTGGGGTGAAAGCTAGGTATGGAACAAAATGATAGAAACGAGTATCAGCGAATCGGTGGATACCATTTTGTTGATATCTCGGCTTTGACTATTGAGCGATTGTTAGGTAAAAATGTATATGATAAGTTCTGTTGTCTGATGTAACAAAAAAAAAATGATGAAAAAAATCATAGCAGTAATACAGGAATCCCGGCAGGTGGGGCTGTGCACAGAACGCGATGATTCATCCGATAGTTTCTATCGTTTATTGTTATGGATATTATTATTATTTGATTCTACGATTATTGCGTGAAGTGATGGCTGTCTATTAACTATAAAGGAGATCGAATGTCTTGTCAAAATTAGATGATCTGATTTCCTGACTTAGGCCATGTGGAGAAATTTCAAAAAAAAAACGACCTAATCTATTAATAATAAAATAGAATAATTAATATATCTATCTATAAATATAAAAATATATTATTTAGCCAACTTAAAGGTGTTGTTAGTGCGCCCCTTTTCCAAACGTATTTGCGTCGATCAGCAGCCACTTCTGGCTGAGTACATAATATGCTA